CCTTCTTTCCCTTTATCCCCTAGGTTCCTTGTATACCCTTTCCTCCCTCCTCCATTAAACTAACCCATTTTTTATCTTATTCTAAGTATAAGTATACTTTTCTATTTTTATTATAATTTACATTGGACATTTGTGTTGTTTTTTCTACCTATGATCCAATTATAGATCCAGTTCTGGTGTTATTCTAGCATACATTATCTTTGTGTCATAGTTTGCGTATGAAGAAGGAATCTCCAAAAGGCTCCTATGTAAAACATTTTTTTCCAAGCTGATGGTTCCAATCATTGAGAGGTGATTGGCTCATGATGAATTCGACCTGATCAATGGATTCTTCTATTGATGATTTATTATTGAAAGCATTATTGGGAGGTGGTGAAAATTCAAAATCTGTGCTAGTTTGAAGGCTTAGATCACTAGGGCCGTGCCTTTGAATGGGTGTCTTCTTCCTGGACCCTTCCTCTATCTCCCTTTGCTTCCCCATTTTGAAGAGGTGAGCATTTTCCCCTGCCATGCCCTTCCTCCATAATATTTTAACCTCACCTGAGATGCACAGCAGTTAAGTTGCTTTCCTCAGATACTTTGCCAGGGAAGAGAAAACTACCACTCAACACAGCCTGTAAAACTTTAAGCTTTTCCTGGGGAAACACTTAGATATAGGCACATCAAGCACATTTAGGATGGTTGATTCCCAGGCAGACAAGTGGTATGATATTTGGAGTTTTCCAAATATTGTATATAGTGTAGATCACTCTTTTTCCCTGCTCTATCTCAAATGCAGATTCTCAGTTGTTTGGGTTTTTAAATGAATGCATGAAGAAGATTAGTTGGCACTAATCCCAATTATTTCTCTGGAAGTACGAAGTGTTTTCCCTTCAGAAACATTAAGTTCTAGGAATTGATATGATATGTAAAGACTATAATGTAGAGTATGTTGAACCAAAGCATATCCATCAGTGGGGTGGGTTGAGGTTACTCAGGAGAAAAGCAAATGGACCTCAGAGGGACATTGGCCCTGAAATAGTTTCAGCAATACAATGTTTTGTCTTATTTTGGATTCTAGATTATTTTGTAAGTATATGTATGACAGAGATAGAGACAGAGAAAGAGAAAGAGACTGGGGCATGCACACAGGAGATGAAATTAGAAGAGAGACTAGAAGAGGGGAGGATCGTAGGAGAAAGAAGGGGAAATAGGGAAGTTAGGTGGATGTGACCAAATATATGATATACTTGAAAGACACTGCTTTAATGAAGCCTATGTATAAAGAACACATACCAATAGAGAATTTTAGGTCCAGCAAGATGGCTCCACAGTTGAAGGGACGTGCCCCTGAGACTGATGGTACCCATGAATCCAATCCCCAGAACTCACATTGTAGACAGAGAAAATGAAGTCCTATGGGTTTTCCTCTGACCTCTATAAATAAACCATGGCACACATGCATGCATACTACTGCACAAATACGGAGAGAGGAAGAGAGAGATGAATATACAATAAAACACTGAAATAATTTATAAAAATTAAAGGAAGAAATGGACACCATTAAGGGAGTGAAGAACTCTAGGAGATGGCAATAGCAAAAGACATACAGTCTTCTAGAGCTTCCAAACAGGACTGCAGCCTGTCACCATCTTCCCTTCAGCTCATGAAGTCGTAAATCTCTTTCCGACTTCCATAATTATAAAAAGAATTTTTGTGTTCAAGCAACAAATTTTGTGGTAAGACATTGCATAAGAATTAGACAAAATATCTAGATCTTTTCTAAATTTTGTTATAAAAAATACCATGCAAAAAGACCTAAGAGACATTGAATCATTTGGTTTTGCTGAGCTCTTAAAACTTTCTCATCAATGAGAGGCATACCGGCTGTTTGGCAGATGGAGGAAGTATACACATCTGGGGCTGTGTGAAGTGCGAGCAGTTGGTGAAACCCTCAGAGGTTTGTGTTTGAATGTGAAGTATTGTGGAAGGTGCCTCATAAATCTGCTGACAGTAATAATCTGCCAGATCTTCAGCCTGGACACTGCTGATGGTGAGAGTGAAATCTTTCCCAGACCCACTGTCTATAAAGCCATCAGGGACCCCAGTCTTCTATGTGGATGCCCAGTACATCAGCATCTTAGGAGCCTTCCCTGGCTTCTGCTGGTAACAGACCAAGTAGTTCTTCAGATCTGAACTATAATAAAGACTCTGGCTGGAATTGCAGCTGATGGTAAGTCTCTCTCCTGCTGACACAGCCAGCAAGTCTGGAGACTGTGTCAATATGATCTCCCCACAATCACCTGCAATCAGGAATAGACAATGATCATATATTATATCAAATATCAAACTTTAAAATATAAATATTTACGTTCTCATGTAAATGTACTTGTTACAATATTCTATCGGTATATGTTGGGACATGCTGTCCTGGCCTCCACCTGCACCTCCCCCACAGTGACCTTTTGGGTCTCGTGGTTCCTCAGTCTCAGAATTGTTTACCAGCTCATTTTCCGGCATCAGGTCCTGAGAACACCATGACCTGGCACTGACCCTGCGGTCATGCGACAGCTCCCCCGCCCCCATTGGGTCAGGTGCCTTCTGGGCTAGGGTATAAAAGCAACCTGGGGCTGAGAAATAAAGGCTTCTTCTGCTACACAAAAGGTGTGATAGTCTCTTCAATCCTGACGTCCTCTGCTCAGAGATCAGCTTTGTGCCATGCAGGCGTGGCAATTGGATGTTCCACCGAGATCTGAGAAAGAGAGGTAAGCGGACAGGGTCGTCCCAGGCTGGCAGGGGCATATTGGGGTTACCATGGGTAATACTAGCAGTAAACAAGAATTGCAATATCAGGTTAAGAAACTGCTAGAAGAACAAGGAACAGCAGTAAAAACAAAGACAATAGACACATTCATTAAAACAATAGCAGAGGCCAGTCCCTGGTTCCTAACTGGAGGGGGACTAAATATCCCTGACTGGGAACAAGTAAGACGGGATTGTCAAAAGAAGTTGCAAAAGGAAGGCAGTGATACCTTCCCAATAGCTACATTTTCTTTGTGGCGCCTGGTTAGAGACGCTTTATTAACAGACAAAGTGAAAGTAAGACAAGAACTTAAGGTGTAGAGGAAGTTTTACAAAAAATACAGGAGGTGGAAACCCGCTGCTCTTTGGGATCTGCTGATGCTCTAGACCAGGAAAGAGGGGCATGTGGAGGTTCAGGAGTCTTAAGCTCTGCCACATCAAGACCACATAAACTGGGTCCCTATGACCCTGAATCTCCTGAAAGTAGTGAGGGAAGCTCAGAGGAAGAGGAGGAGGAGATGCTTCACAGGGAAATACAGGAACTAAAAACAAAATTAAAACATATCAGGTTAAAGGAAAAGACACATCATCCTCCTCCCTTGGCTCCACCCATGGAAGAGTGGTGGTGGAGGTCGCCAGACTATAAAAATGATGTAGAGCCAAGGGTCGGGGTGCGTTTCAGGCACGTATTGTAGCACCAGTAATAGAAGTTCCCGACCCTAACCAACAAGGTCAGGTACAACGACAACATCTTGCACTGCAGTTTAAAGACCTAAAAAGCCTTAAAGAGGCTGTGGCGACCTACGGGGTCCAGGCTGCTTTTACTATGACCATGGTGGAGTCATATACTTCCCAAAATTTAACACCCAGTGATTGGCAGCAGCTATGCCGTGTGGTCCTGTTGGGAGGAGATTATCTCTTGTGGCGGGGAGAGTACCAAGAACAATGTCTACGA